GCTTCCTCTCCAGTGATGCAGTCCCGCCCGTGGCCGCACGGGGGCGGACTCGACTGCCAGATCGCGCTGCCCGGGCCGGGCCTGGGGCGGGGATGGGAGGATGGTGGATGGCTGTGGCTCTCCTGCTGTGAGTCAGCCGAGCCTGGCTCCTCCATGAACAAGGGAAAGGGGAAGTGCCTGCCGCAGGGAGGGGCCTGGCCCCGGGAACCTCAGAAGAGGGAATTTTATTCTTACTCATCGAATTATTTTTATGCTTTGGTTTTTCACTGGGAACCTCAGGCCACTGTCTCCAGGACTTGTAACCCTTTGGGGTCCAATGCATAGTGGCTTCTCAGAAGTCCAAACCTACGGGGCAAGGACTCTGCTCCCTTCACCTAGCAGCCGCTAGACCTGAACTCTGAAGTCTTGTATAGCAATTATTATAGTAATTATTACAGAAATTATTACAGTAACTAAGATTTACTGAACATCTACTCCGTGCCATTCTCTCTGCATTGTCTCACCCAATTCTCATTTGATCCTCGAGGTGGGTACTGTTAGCTTAAGGTAACACAGTGGCACTGATGGCCGAGCCAGAATTGAAACTTGGGTGTCTGTCAACCCAGAGCATGTAATAGCATGTCTAACTTCTCAGCCTGAACAGCAGTGCAAGGGTGGTCTGGCTGTTCCACTTTGCATCTTTCTCTGGGCATAAGAGAAAGCATGGGAGAGTATTCAGGAAGGGGAATATGGGTACTGCATTTTTTCAGAGATTGTGACAAAGTTGGGGTCTCTTGAGTCTCAACCTCATTAGCCTCCCATGGGATCTCTCAGCCTCCCTATTTGTTGTTCCCCACTTTTTTCTCTGCTGAGGGACTCTGAGGGCACACTCAGCTCCCTGAGTTGGCATCTGATGCCTGTCCTACTTCATACTTTTAATGTCTGCCCTTCCCAGACCCCCAGCTTCTTCCAGGTGGGCAGCTTGTCCTCTGTAAGTTCCCTGTCTAGCCCTCCCAGGCCTGTAGCTCTGCCAGGACATCCTCCTGAGTTCTGAAGTGGAAGCCCGGATTAGATTCTTGAGAAGAGGAGAAGACACTCAGTGATGCTGCCCTGGGACCTCTAAGATGCCCCTCTATGCAAATCACTCCGTCCTATGCAAAGCACTTCACAATATGCAAATGATTTCACAATAACATTGTCAGCATTCCTGCCTCTGGGGGCTGAGGGTTTCTGGTCATCAGGCAAGGGAGTGGGCAAGACCCCCCAGAAATGCCACTTGCTGCCTACTCACTACCCTTTCCTGGGACCTCCACCATCAGACTCCCTAATGGGTTAGAGACAAGCACGAGAATCAGGTGAAAAAATACAGTTGGCAGACCCGTGTGCGCTGTTTAAAATACTGACTTGGACATGGAAACTCAAGAAGTTGACCTCACAGAAGTAGAGAGAGTGGACTAGAGGTCCCTAGAGACTGGGAAAGGGAGAGAGGCACAGATAAAGGGAGATACTAAACTACAGTTAGAAGAAGTTCTAATGTTCTACACATAGCTGGCTGTTGTGTACAGTTTTTTAATATTTTATCAAGACAGAGTCTAGTTATGTTGCTCAGATTGGTCTTAAACTCCTGGGTTCAAGCAATCCTCCTGACCAGGCCTGCCTAGTAGCTGGGACTAAAGGTGTGCCCCACTGTACCCTGATGATGATGATGATGATGATTTTGTGGTACTAGGGATTGAACCCAGGGCCTTGCATATGCTAGGGAAATGATCTACCATTGAGCTACATTCCTAGCCCTTTTTATTTTTTGTTTTGAGATAGGGTCTCACTAAATTGCTTTGGGCCTCACTAAGTAGTTGAGGCTGACTATGAACTTGGGATACTCCTGCCTCAGTCTCCCAAATCACTGGGATTACAGGCATGTGCCACCATGCTTAGAAAATTTGTTTTATATTTTGGTACTGGGGATTGAACCTAAGGGTGCTTTACTACTGAACTCCATTTTGGGTTTTTGGTTTTTTTTTTTTTTTTTTTTTGTGTGTGTGTGTGTTTTTTTTTTTAAAGAGAGAGTGAGAGAGGCAGAGAGAAAGAGAGAATTTTTTAATATTTATTTTTTAGTTATCGGCGGACACAACATCTTTGTATGTGGTGCTGAGAATCGAACCCGGGCCGCGCACATGCCAGGCGAGCACGCTACCGCTTGAGCCACATCCCCAGCCCTTTTGTGTTTTTTTAATATTTTTTATTTTTGAGGCAGAGTCTCACTACATTGCTGAGACTGGCCTCAAACTTGTAATCCTCCTGCCTCAGCTTCCTGAGTCACTGGGATTACAAGATGCACCACCACACCCAGCCAGAAATGATAAATTTTTTTAAAAAATATTTATTTTTTAGTTATAGGTGGACACGATGTCTTTATTTTGCTTTATGTGATGCTGAGGATTGAACCCAGTGCCTCACGCATGCTAGGCGAGTGCTCTACCTCTGAGCCACAACCCCAGCCCATGATGAATGTTTAAGGAGCTGGAAATGCTAAATACCTTGATTTTTATCATTGCACATTGTATACATATATTGAATTATCATAGCATATCCCATAAATATGTATAATTATTATGTGTCAATTTAAGAAAAAGCACCAGGGACTGAGTGTACAAGTCAATAGTAGAGTGCTTACCTAACATGCCCAAGATCCTGAGTTCAATCCCCAGCATCACAAAAAGCAAGAGTACACCGAATTGGATCTGCCAGGGGCTTCCAGGTATATAAGTGAGAAAAGTGGGATGCAGAAGTGCTTATATAATATGATCCACTCTTTTAAAATAGTGGTGAGGGCTGGGGCTGTAGAGCGCCTGCCTCGCACATGTGAGGCACAGGGTTTGATCCTCAGCACCACATAAAAATAAATAAATAAATAGACAGATAGATATTGTGTCCATCTACAACTAAAAAAATTTTTTTTAAATAAAATAATGGTGAAACTTCATATACATGATTACAAGTATTGGTATATGTAAGTTCATGTGTCACTCCCCCATCATGAATTTCATGGAAGGAAAACTGTTAAAGGAAAACCATATCTAGCTAGGTTCAGTGGTGAGCACCTGTAATCCCAGCTACTCAGGAGGCTGAGGCAGGAGGATCCCAAGTTCAAGGCCAGCCTCAGCAATTTAATAAAAAAAATTATTTAGAGAAAAATTTTTAAAAATTATAAAAGGACTGGGGGCATAACTGGTAAAGTGCCCCTGGGTTCAATCCCCAGTACCAAAATATAAGTCATAATAATAGAGAAATTATGTTTAAATAAGTATATGATCACTTTTATGTAACTGTGTAAAATTTTATGCATATAAAATCTCATAATCTCTCACTACATATAAAATCTCGCTACATATAAAAATTGTATCTCTGTCTCTAGTGAAACTAGGTCCCTCTCTCTCACTCTGCACAAAAGTTGACTCAAGCTGATATAGTGGCTTACACCTATAATCCCTGTGACTTGGGAGGCTGAGGTAGGAGGATCCCAAGTTTGAGGCCAGCCTGGGCGATTTACAATACTTTCTCAAAATAAGAAATAAAAAGAGGTAGGGATGGGCTGGGGATGTGGCTCAGGTAGCGTGCTCGCCTGGCATGTGTGCGGCCCGGGTTGGATCCTCAGTGCCACATACAAACAAAGATGTTGTGTCCACCGAAAACTAAAAAAATAAATATTAAAATTCTCTCTCTCTCTCTCTCTCTCTCTCTCTCTCTCTCTCAAAAAATAATAAAAATAAAAAAAAAAGAGGTAGGGATGTGACTCAGTGGCAGAGTACCCCAGTACCAGGAAAAAGAGAAAAAATACAAAAAAAAGTCAACTCAGAGTGGATCATGAAAGATTAAGTCATGAAATTAAGTCAGAAAGTTTGCAACTGCATAGGGCACTACTATACATCTAAGTGAAGTCAATGATTTCCTCAAGAGAACTCTTACAGCTCAGGAAATGATACCAAGGCTGAATAAATGGGATGGCAGCAAATTAAAAAGCTTCTACACAGTAAAAAGAGCAAGTGTGAAGAGAGTCCACAAAATGGGAGAAGCCCGGGGTGTTGGTGCACACCTGTAATCCTAGAGCCTCCGGAGGTTGAGGCAGGAGGATCACCTTGGAAATTTAGCACGGCCCTTGGTGAGACCCCGCCTCAAAACAGAAAACATTGAAAAGGGCTGGGGATGTGCTCAGTGGTAAAGCGCCCCTGGGTTAAATCCCCAGTACCAAAACAAAGCACAAAATAAAACAAAAAACTGAGAAAATCTTTGCCAGCTCCAATTCCAACAGAGGATTAATATCCAGAATAAAGAACTCAAAAAACTTAGCACCAAAAAACCCCCAAATAGCCCAATCAATAAATGGGCAAATGAACTAAACAGCCATGTCTCAAAAGTTTTGTTTTTGTTTGTGGTACTGGGAATTGAACCCAGGGGGCCCTATCACCAAGCTGCATCCTAGCCTTTTCTTTTTTAATATCTATTTTTGTTTACTTATTTTTATGTGATGCTGAGATCCAACCCAGTGCCTCACCCATGCTAGGCAAGTGCTCCACCACTGAGCTACTGCCCCCGCCCCAGCCTGTTTTATCTTTTTTGGGGGGAGATACCAGGGATTGAACTCAGGGATACTCAACCACTGAGCCACATCCTCAGCCCTATTTTGTATTTTATTTAGAGACAGGGACTCACTGAGTTGCTTAGCACCTCACTGTTGCTGAGGCTGGCTTTGAACTTGAACTTTGAACTTCAGAGCCTCTAGGTTTATAGGTGTGTGCCACCATGCCCAGCATGTTTTATCTTTTATTTTGAGACAGGGTCTCACTAAGTTGTACAATCTGGACTCAAACTTGAAATCCTCCTGCCTCAGCTTCCCAGGTAGCTGGGATTACAGATGTGCACCACCATGCCAGGCTCAAAAGAAGAAATTCAAATGATAATAAAAATGTGAAAAAATATTCAACGTCTTTAGCAATCAGGGAAATGCAAGTCAAAACCACACTGAGATTTCAGGATTGGGGGCTATAGCTCGGTTGGTAGAGTGCTTGTCTCAAATGTGCAAGGCTCTGGGTTCAATCTCCAGCACCACACACACACACATACACACAAACACACAAAGTACACTGAGATTTCATTTCACTCCAGTTTTAATGGTAGCCACCAAGAAGACATGTAATACTAAATGCTGACAAGAATGTGGATTAAGAGGAACACTTACACACTGTTGGTGGGATTGTAAATTAGTACAACCATCATGGAAATCAGTATGGAGTTTCCTCAAAAGAACAGGAATGGAATCACCATATGACACCGAGGAGTTTTAATTCAGCACCACATATAAATAAATAAAATAAAGGTCTATCAACATTACAAAAATAAATAAATAAAGGAATACATCGAAATAATCTGCCTTCTTGTATACTACGGAGCCATTCAAAGTGCAATGGGAAACAGGCTTTTCAGAATATCCACAAAAATGTAAAATAGCCAGAAGTAAATTTGTTAGTAATTATTTAAGACTCCTAATATAAAAGAAAATTGTAGAGCTTTTTTAAATAAGAAAAAGCTAAATCAAACAAAATATTGCCTAAACATACATATATGTGTAAGAAAACTCAAAAGAAGATCAGCTTGAGATGTGACAGGGGTCCTTTGCCCGCTCTGCTGAATGGTGTGCCATTGTTTGAGTAAATCTACTGTAATAAAGAGGAACAAAATTATGTCATTTGCAGGAAACTGGATGGAACTGAAGAGCATCATTTTGAGGCAAATCAACCAGACTCAGATAGTCAAGGGTTGTATGTTCTCTCTCATATGTAGAAGCTAGAGAGAAAAAAATAATTTTAAAAGGGAGTTCATGTAAACTAGTAGAGTAAGGGATGAGGTTCAGGGGGAGAGAGGAGGGAAGGAAAGGAGGAGGTTACTGGGGAGGGAAGTTGACCAAATTGTGTTATGTACAAGTAGAAATATGTCACCGTGAGTCCTACTGTAATGTATGATCATAAATAAAAATGTAGAATAAATTAAAAAATTTAAAGTGCAACAAAAAAGATTCTGGTGTCAGATTTCTGGGGGCAAATTATTTAATGTCTATACCTCAGCCTTCTCATCTATAAAATGGATTACTGTATCAGATTGTAGTGAGGATTAAATGAATGAATACACACAAAGCATTTAAGACTGACAATGGGAAGTTTCATAGAAAGGTTAGATATTAATAATAATCTTCTCCTTCTCCTTCTCCTTCTCCTTCTGTAGAGATTGAACCTAGGAGCACTTAACCACTGAGCCATATCCCCATCCCATTTTATATTTTTTAATTTTGAGACATGTTTTCATTAAGTTGCTCAGGGCCTCTCCTAGTTGCTGAGGCTGGCTTCGAACTGTTGATCCTCCTGCCTCAGCCTCCAAAGTCACTGAGATTACAGGCCTGTGTCACTGCACCTGGCAGCATACTAATATTCTTTGGGTGTGTGAATATATGGGTATAAAAAAAATGTAAAAGTAACGAAAAGAATAGATACATTAGTCAGGGTGGGGTCACCATCTCCTCTCCCTGCTAAGCACAAATGAGCATTTTCTGAAACATTTATCAAGTGATTTGGGGGCCTCAGGGATTTCCTGGTGGGATGGTGATGGGATGGGCCTAGGTGATAGGATGGGCCTAGACATGGCGTGGCTCTGCATGGTGTCTGGGATCTGGAAGTTGGAAATCCATTTCTTCACTCCACTCTGGGATGCCCGGATCTGAATTTAAATGCTGTTCCTTTGGATCTGAATTTAAATGCTGTTCCTTTCTCCAGCAGCTTTACTGGGGAGCAAGAAGACTTCTGCCCTCGAAAAGGTTCCCAGAAGGTGGACCACCCCTGAGCCTGCTGACCAGACAGCGGCTGTGAGAAAGCTTCCTGAGTGCAGCCTCCCAAGGGAAAGCAGCCCACCTTCTTGTCTCAGGGCTTTCTGTGGGATCAGCGGGTAGGTGGCAGTCTCTTACAGAAAGGCACCTGGCTCTCAGAGAGGTGAGCCAAAAAGAGGCACAGGCACGCTCTCCCCCAGGACTCAGACTCGGCCTTTCTGAAAGGGATAGGCCTTTCTGGAACCTTTCTCAGGTTGTTCTTGGAGTGGCCTGGCCATCCTCCTCATTCCTGGGGTGCTTCCTCTCCTGAATCCTGAACCAGACATGGCCCAGTGACTCTGCAGGCCCCCCGCCTCTCCCCCTGCCACTCAGCAACGGTTCCATGATGCCCAAGAGCTCACACTACTTGCTAAGGCAGGCTCTCTGCTTTTGCAAGTGGTGGAGCCCCCATCTCACCCCAGGCAGGCCTGGGAAGTGCTCTTCACCAGCTCCCTGAGGTGAAATCCTGCTTCTCCCTGAAGCCTTCCTGGTTCACGCAGCCTGAAGACACTCAGTGCCGGTGTATCTTTGGGGCCCTGTATCCATAAGCTTCCTCATTGTCCTGCCAGCATGGGCTCTTGGAAAACGGACAAGCTTTTGCCCACACTCTGAATAAAAGTCTATACACATCCATTCAGTCCTCCCTTTCCCAGGCGCCCATCACAGGTAGGCAAGTTGGTGTGACATCCTTGTGCATCTATGCCACTCTCATCTTGGCCCTTGCGGGGCCCTTTTTAATTTAATTTCTTTGTTTCTTTACATATTTGCTCACTTGTTATTGCCCCCCACCCCCAATCTCCTTGATTCCTGTTTGAGGGAACCTGAATTTTGGAATGATCTGATTGGTCTTTCTCTTTCTTTTCCAGTTCTGGAGGGGGGACCCATGCATCCTAGGCTAGTGCCCAACCACCAAGTCACACCCTCGTGCTGTTTTCTCACACCTATATGTATATTTAGGCAAAATTTTGATTTGGCTTTTCTTATTTTTTTAAAAATAACTGCTCTGCAATTTTCTTTCATATTAGAAGTCCTGAATAATTATTAACAAATTTACTTCTAGTTATTTTACATTTTTGTGGATATTTTGAAAAGCCGATTTCCCATTACACTTTGAATGGCTCTGTAGTGTACAAGAAGGCAGATTATTTCGATGTATTCCTTTATTTATTAATTTATTTTTGTAGCTGTTGATAGACCTTTATTTTAGTTACTTATATGTGGTGCTAAGAATCAAACCCAGTGCCTCACACATGCTAGGCAAGTGCTCTACCACTAAGCCCCAGCCCTAGCTCCTTGATGTATTCCTTTTACACCTTGTAAACCAATTTAATTTTCAGGGTTCTAATAGTTTCTCAACAGATAGCCTTGAGTCTTTTAGACTCAGGATAATCATCTCCTCCGCTAATAGGAAAAGTACTGGAAGGAATCACACTATTATTTATAAAGATACGATTTGGCTTGGTTTTGAACTTCACCAGAAGGAGACCTATCTTCAGGGACTGACTTTCTCCCCTGCATACTATGGTACTGGGTCACTCCTGATGTTGTGTGCCACGTGGGTCCTTTGCTTGCTCTGCTGAAGGGTGTGCCATTGTTTGAGTCAATCTACTGTAATTTATTTATCCACTCTCGTTAATGGGCACTTGGTTATTTCCAGACACTCTACTCAAAAACATGCAGCTGTGAACATTCTGGTCTGTGTGTGTTTCTCAGAGTATGTGCAAGAGCCTCTTTGGATTTTATGCCTGGGAGAGTTTGCTGGGTGACAGCCTCTGCTATCTTTCAGTTTTGTAAGGTACAAGCAGATTGTTTTCCCCAGTGGTTATCTGGAGTTGCGCTCTGACTGGCAGCGCAGGGCCCTCCTGTGCCCCGCCTCTTCTCCAGCTCTGGGTGCTGCCAGCCTGGTTACTCTTGCCCTTCTAATGGTGTAAAATAGCAACTCGAGGTGGTCTTCATTTGCATTTCCCTCCTCACTGGACGTTGAGCATCCCTAAGATGTTTATTGGACAATGTGTCTCCCCTTCTGTTTCTGCCTCTTGGTGACTTTTGTCTGTGCTTCTCTTGGATCCCTTGCTCTTTTTCTGCAAGATGGGCAAGAACTGTGCATGGATTTCGGGGTGGACCCGCCCCCCTGGTGCAGGGCTCACATCCTAGTCTGTGGCTTGCTTTTCACTTTCTCTCAGGTGTCTTCACCTTTCTCTTTCCCCTCCCACTCGGAAGACCTCGCTAGTGGACACAGTGTGTGTGTGTGTGTGGGGGGGTCTTGGGCCCCCGAGAGCCGGTGTAGACGGACCCGCTCCTCGTGTCCCTGGGGCTTCAAGGGACCCCTCCCTTTCCAC